TTTTTTGGAGATGGAGCTTCGCTCTTGTTACCCAGGCTGGAGTGCAATGGCACAATCTCGGCTCACTGCAATCTCTGCCTCCTGGGTTCAGGCAATTATCCTGCCTCAGCCTCCTGAGTAGCTGGGATTACAGTCACACGCCACCATGCCCGGCTAATTTTTTGTATTTTTGGTAGAGACGAGGTTTCACCGTGTTGACCAGGATGGTCTCAATCTCTTGACCTTGTGATCCACCCGCCTCGGCCTCCCAAAGTGCTGGGATTACAGGTGTGAGCCACCACGCCCGGCAATTTTTCTATTTTTAGTAGAGACGGGGTTTCACCATGTTGGCCAGGTTGGTCTCTGGTCTCGAACTCCTGACCTCAGGTGATCCACCCACCTTGGCCTACGAAAGGGCTGCAATTATAGGCGTGAGCCACTGTGCCCAGCCTGTTTCTCCATCTAATAGGGCAACCCTAGATAGTACAGAAGAACAAATGGAAGGAAAATCAGCATCCTGTTTATTCCTTTAGCAGGTCTCATTACCCAAGAGGTGGGTTTCCATGATTCATCAGTCAGAGAAGGCAATGAAGGGAATCACAACAAACATCACACACCAAAACAAAATATAAACCCTATAGCATGAATATGTGTCTACTTACTTCCCTAAAAGAAGTTACAAAACTGCTTTAATATAATTCTCCCCACGCAGTGTAAACCAGTTTTTCGCAGTGTGGTCTTTGAGTCACCTGTATCTGAACATAAGGAGCTTAACTGGGCCCACCAAATCTGCAGTTTTACCAGGTCATTCTCATGCTCAGTATTTGGAAGTACTTCCCACAGTAGCTAAAAATTTTCGCCTCAAGCAAGTGAATCTTGAACACAAAAGATCAAACTTATGCTTGGTCTTAGAAGGAAGAAACAATTAATAGAACATAAATAATTCAGTAAAGCACAGTGGTCCACAGCAAAAGCTATGAAGCTAGAAATCCTGAGTTTACATTTCTATTTCACAACGCACTAGCCATTTGACACTGGGCAAATGTGACCCAGTTTTCTCATCTGTATAATAGAATACTACCACCTACCTCAGAGCCATGAGACTAACAAGTTATCAAAGCTCTTAAAAGGCTGCCAGGCCAGGCACAATGACTCACATCTATACTCTTGGCACTTTGGGAGACCGAGGTGGGAAGATCACTTGAGACCAGGAGGAGTTCAAGACCAGCCTGGGCAACATAACAAGATCCCATCTCTATTAAAAAAAATTTAAAAATAAAAAATCAGCCTGGCATAGTGGCACCTGCCTTTAGTCCCAGCTATGCAGGAGGCTGAAGCAGGAGGATAGCTTGAGCCCAGAAGGTTAAGGCCACAATGAGCCATGATCATGCCACTGCACTCCAGCATGGGCAACAGAACAAGACGCTGTCTCAAACTAAAAAAAACAAACAAAAAAACAAACCAAAAAAACCCTTGTGGCTAATGGCTGTGATTCTCATTTGCTGAATCTTTGGAATTTACATCCATTTCCAATGATGTAATACAAAACCATGAAGGATCTCATATTTTGCATTGCTTCAAACTCAGGTTCTTCTCAAGTAAAACAAAACTAGGTGACTGACTTTGAAAATGGCACAGGTTAAGAATCTGTTTCCCAAATCTGTTGCAAGAAGATGGAAAAAAACAAAAGAATTGAAAACTCCCAAACTTTTCACAGCAAAATAGAACTGCGATTAATCACCCATATTAGAGAAAATTCAAAAAAGCAATTGGGTGATTGGGCAAAGGTACAAGACTATCCAATAAAGACCTCACACACATCTTGCCATTTTCCCTCCCTCTCACAATCTGCATTTACACAAGTCAATTTCCTGAAATAGGAATCTGGCAACATACACCAAAAAGTACAACCATATGTAAAATGGCATCACACTGTAAAGCTCATATTACAGTATCAGGACAATCGATGCTTTTAACAGTAGCAATGGCTGCCAGGCAGCGGTCCTGAATTGAAGACGTGTAAAAGGGAGGAAATAACACAACATAGAAAAAGAAATCTGATAATAAAATAGAGAAACGGATTCTCTGGGAAGAGCGTACACAACTCCCAAGGCAAAATTCAGAAAAATGTTGCTTTCCCTCAAAACAAAGAGCCTTAATGGCCAGAATGCCAGAGTTCTGAATCGTGAGTACCCTCAAACAGAAATAAGGAAAACGGGGAGGATATGTGGGTGAGAGATGACCCGGATTATCATGGGAAGAACAGCAGCCAAAGCTTAGAGGTACACGGAATACAGTTTCAGGCCTGGTGCAACTCAGGGGGCAGCTAACCATTTTCCAGTAAGCCCGAAATTGAAGAATAAAAGGGACTTAAAGTATTAGAGAGCAGCTCTTTGGCAACCCACGGAAGACAGACATTGGGGATTCAAAGGATCTGGGGGGAGGGGAGGTGGAAATGAGTCAAAAGCAGCCTTCTCGAAGATAAAAATCATGTGATGCTGGGGAAAAGAATGCCCGAGGAGCTAAGATAAGGGAGCACGGGTCCTGAGAAAAAGCCCACCACTTCAACAAGCGGGAAGGGTAGACCAATGGGCGCGGGTCCCCCAAAGGTGCTGTTTTCGGGGGACCCGAGGCCTCGGAGCCGGGTGTCGAGCCACGCACCAACGAGAGACCACAGTACAGGGACAGTGTCCGCGCGCGGGAAAAACTGCGGCCAGGCCGGAAGGGGGTAGGGCAGGGCAGGGCGGGCCGGAAGGGGGGCAGGGCGGGCCTGGAGAGCGCCCCACGGGACACTTACGCGGCCGCTTTTTCCTCAGGCTTTCGACGCGCTGACGGGTGACCGCCGTGGGGCCGCTGTAGGAGCCCAGCCGGTCCCGCCTCGCGCCCTCCGCCGAGGCCCCGACCGCGGGCACCGACGCGCTGCTCGCCCGGCGCCGCAGTGGCTCCCGCCGCCGCCCTTCGGGGCCCCCAGCCGCCTGCTCCCCTGCCGACGAGGCGGAGGTGGCGGAGGCGGCGGAGGCCCTGCCGTGGCGCTCCATGGGCGCGCCAAGCCGGCCCGCTCCCATCCGCAGCAGCCACCGCTGCCGCCCGAGCCAGCCCCCCAGAGTCTGACTCCTCCTTTCCTCCTCCACGGTAGTCCAGACGGAGCAGAGGCGCGCCCTCGGCCGGCCGCCTCTTCCGTTGCGCCAACGCGCAGGAAGCCAATGCGACGAGGCTGGGGGCGGCCCGAAGGCCTCGCGTCCAATCGGCTCCCTAACTCGAGGAGGATTGACCGTATCTCTGTCCAATCAGAGGCTCCCGTGACGGGGCGGGAGGTGTTGGAGGAGGGGATCCGGGTTCCGCGGAGGAGGAGAAGGCGGTGTAGCCGAAAACAGAGTGATGGCGGCGCCGCCCAATGGACACGTGGGTGGAAGGGCCTGCGCCTCCTCATCCACCCCGCCATCAGCTACCCCGGTCCATGGGTCTGCCCCCCGGGCCGCGGAACTCTCTTGGGGCGACCCCGAGTCCCATCCCGCTGCTCCGTGCAGTCCTCGTTGATCGAGCCCTCCTCCAGCTCAGTAGTGCTTCCGCAGCGCCTGGCCGCCGGTTGTCTGCAGACCAAAGGGCTTGAATCGCGGCTGACATTAGCCTTTGTCCGTCGGCCTTGTTCCTCAGCTGCCGTGGAGGCCACCAGCCCCTCCCCCAGCATGTTTGGGCTAAGCCGCCTCCTTTCCGCCTGCGTTGGATGGAGACGTTCCTGGTACCAGAAGGAATGAAAGGACTGGGGCTGGTCTCCATGGCAACTGATAGAAAGGTGGGTTATACTGTAAATCCTTCGCCACCCTCCTGTGGCGAAGGAGGGGAAGTGGGAGCCGGCGAGTAGAGTTGGCCTTTTGCGGGAGAGTCTGGAGACCCTTTCTGAGTGATAAACTGGGGGACATAGAAGGATTTGACTGCCAC